TGGCTACGCGCCTGATAAATAATATTAGTAGAGATTTAATATTAATAATAGCACTTGAAGATAATTTAATAAAAATTATCGAAACTCGCTTGCTTGAACTCATGTTATGGGACAGGTTTTAAATGGCTAAAAATTTGGAATCTTGGTATATATATCTCCTATAGATTATTCATAGCAATATTTAAAATATATTGTTCTAAAAAATATTGCTAAAAATGGGGTAAATATAATAAAATTTTAAGTTTGAGAATATTGATGTAGCAGGCTATTTATTTGTCAAAAATTGTAACAAGATCTAATAACGGGCTAGATTTTCGAAATTTTGGGAGGAGGTGGTGGATATATAGGGATAAAATTATTATTAATTAGCTTTAAATGATATCACGATAATATAATATTTCCGACGGGGGGATCCTTGACCCCCACCCATCGCCCTAGGCAACGCTTATGCTAACTAAAAAGTTTTAACAAAAAATATAGATTTTTTTTATCAAATAAAACAAAAATTTACAAAAAACAGAATTTATGAGAGATAAACAGGCGTTTTCACAAAAATACGGACAATATCACGAGTTAAATTGGTAGTGTGATGTTTAAATATACAATATTTGAAGATTAATAACAGAAGGAACAATTGGTAAAGAATATATTTAGTTTAAAATTTATTTAATTACTTTGATGTTGTTAATAATATACAATACTCATTTGAAACTCGTCCTCTAGTCTACTCAAGTTTACAACTCGAGTTAAGAACTTGTGTTTAAAAACCGAGTCAGTTTTGGGTCATTTTCCAAAAACTTGGCTCCAGTTTTAAACTAAGTTGATTCAAATCAGTCGATTAATACACTAGCTAACCCTATTTTGGACGATGATTACCGGCCTATAGCTCTAGATATATATATATAGGCAAAACTTTAAAATTTATAATATATACTAACTTATATTCGTTTTACTAAAGGCGAAGGTTAAAACATATATACCTTCTAGTTATGTTATATTAATCAATCTTAAGTACAATATAATCCAAATTATATATTCCGAAATATGACGATCATCAGTGGCGTAAACCTCAATCGAAAGAGGTGAGGGGAAACCTTCAGACCTACCCTAGTGGGTTATTGAAAACAGTCAGCGCCGATATCCTTGGCAATCTAAGATAACAAAATCAGGCAACTATATGATGGAGAGCCCCTTCGTACTCTATTGCGACATATTTGCTTGATTGGGGTATTTTTTATTCATTGTCAACGAGGAATATTGAACAAATATATAATACTGATTACAATACATTATATTTAGTAATATTGTAAAGATGCTAGTTCAATATTTATATAGTAAGAGAAAATATTTTATACTAAAAATGGTATAAAAAACTGACAATTTTTTAAAAATTCTTTTTCTATCGTTATTTGTCTGCGTTCTCTACTTTTTACGGCCTGGACATCGCTATTTGTAAGACCCATTATAAGCCTTCGGTTATCACTTTTATCCATGTCATGTTTGGTTTTCTTCGATGCAGTGATCAAATCCATCGTACCCAATCATGTTTCGTTCAACTTGTATAAGCCAACTCAGTCTATTTTACTTGACTACTCTTCAAAAGAAGACTAAACTGAGGATAATTTGAAGAGGTGTATATAATACCATATTTAGTAACTAATCAAATTTAACGTTCATGTTTGGAATATGGTCATTCAAACTCAATCAGAAATATGCATCATGGTTGTCTTCAAAAAGCAATGAAATTCCCAAATAGTGTGGGATTTTATGAGTGGGAAAATTTTATTATGATTACATTTTAAAGGAATGCCACAAAATATAAATCTAGATCAAGCCAAGGATAAATTTTATCCTGATGGAAGGATAAAAAAAAGATAGGCTAAAAAAACATACCGCAAATCCTTAAAAGAGAGCTAACTAATCAGAAAAAATAAGGATTCTTAAATAGAAAATATCTCGATTTTATATCTATATAAATGAATGTCAAAGAATATTTTGGTTTATTTCTTATATACTATTATTAGGTTTTGTAGTTATGAGTTGTTTTACATTATATTTCCGCTTCCAAAAGATTATTATAGCATAAATAAAATAGCTGCCTTTCAAAAACTTGTTGGCAATATACTTTTTTTCATTTATACAATTTAGATTATTAAATTTCCCGTTATGATGCAGATATTCTGCCACGTCCTGCTCAAATTAACTTTGACCCTTACCATATGGTTCGGAAAATTATAGGGTTCGCCCCGTTATAAAGGTTCGGTTCGCTAGGGTCTCTGATAAATATATAGTATATACTACCTACATCATTAATTCTCCGTCACCAATATTCATACTTAAATAAAATATAAAAAATGTATTAATATATCATTACTTTAAAAAAATATTCTATAGCCTTCTTCTTCTTCTCCGTTTTATGGCGATTTCCAGGTTTACCCAGGTAGGCCAGTTTTCATTCTGATTTTTTTTTCAATTATTGACGGTTCTGAGCATCAATATTTGAAGATTCATGCTTCTCATATCCGCCATTGTTACATTTGTCCACGTCATCTTGGTCTAGGTCTTGATCCTCCTACTTCCATCAAGATGCACCTCTTTACCCAGTCATCTTTTGTCATATGTTCCAAATGCCCTAACCAGTTTAGTCTATTTCGTCGCATTACCACTCCAATTATTTCTATATCCAATCTAGCCCGCAATTCCTTGCTAGTTTTTCTTTCTCTCAGAGATACCCCACACATCCATCTAATCATCCTCATCTCTGTTCTTTCTAAATTGGCTTGGTGAGTCGCTTTCATAGCCCATGTTTCGCCGCCATAAACTAAACAATTCCTCACACAGCTTACGTAAACTTTCCCTTTTAACTTCAGAGACTATTTGTTAGAATAGATGACATCTCTCTGAACTTCTTCCATGCTTGTCTGACCTTGCAACAACGGCAGAATCTACACCACCATCTGCGTTTAGCATATCACCTAAATAACAAAACTTCTCCACTTTTCCTAGGGTTAATCCATTGCCAATATCCAAACCACCATTTTCTACGTTATCATTTTTATGTACCTCTTTTATGCACGTTCTACATACAGGTCATTCTTGCTAACATCAGACTTCCCTTTTCCCCACTACATCTATTATGCACCTATTCGTGGCATCTGGTGCATTGGATTGAATTTCTAGCAACTCCTTTCCCGCATACACCACAAGGCCACTTACTGGATTCCTCCATCTTTAGATTTTCCCCACCAATAATCACCGTTGTCTGTGCTGCATTCATTTTCAGGTCCTTTGCTTCTGTAGCCTCAATTCTCCCTCACTGTTTGCCATTAATACAAGGCCATCTGCATATAATAGCTCCCAGGGAAGTCCTTCACGCATTTCTCTAGCCACCACATCCATTACTAAGATAAATAATAATGGACTCAGGACGGATCCTTGATGAAGTCCTACCTTCACTTCAAACCTTTCACTATCTCCATTATCCGTCTGTACTGCAGTTTGTGCTCCCAGATACATTGCCATCACTGCCACTACCAACCATTCCTCCACTGCTGATTTCTCAAGGCCCATCTAGTAACCTCGCACGGCACCCTGTCAAATGCTTTCTCCAAATCAACAAAGGCATAATACAGTTTCTTTCCCTTCGCAAGATACTTCTCCGGTATTTGTCTCACCACAAAAATTGCATCTGTCGTTTCTTTATTTTGATAATCTGGAAGTAATCAATGAAATACATTCAAACCAATGTTTCATTTTTATAGTTAAAAAATACTTGGCCACCTTCAATATTTTCATGATTTTGTAAATTATATTGTCTGCCTTTTATCTCAGCCATATAAATACTTTTTAACCTTTTTTAATATAAATTACAATTCTAATGGCCTCCGGAAAACTACATCTGATAAAAAGGAATATTTAGAAATAATTTTTAAAAAGGTATATTATGGTAATATAAAGACAATTAAAAATCCTAGAGGTTCAAAATATACCATAATGAGAAAAAATAGATTGTTAAAAAATCATATAGAACGGTTTGAATAAAAAGAATCCTAATCTTCCCCGGTCTCCTCAGGTTTGTTCATAATGATTTTAAAAAATAGTTTTCATTCATTTACGAAATATTGTCTTCTTTGAAGTTTCAATTAGGGGGAAGAGGTAATTAATTTGGGGGTCCAACTATTTGGGTTTTTTTTATAAGTCATTAGAAACAAATTTGGAGTCCAGATATGGGGGCTGGGGAATTTTTTTTGGGTAGGGGGGCTTGGCCATGAGTTATGAATTGTATCTATGGAAAATCATTATTCTTAAAAAAATATATAGAGGTCCAATGTGGTTTTTTGTGGGAGAGCTCTGAGGTCCTCCAATACGCTTCTGCATGGCCGAGCATTAACGACGTTGGGTTATATAATTAATACTATTAATAGTCTTATTTTCAACAAAATATAAATATTTTATAATGTGTATCAGAGACTTGCAGGCCCTGTCCTAAGCCCGTGTTTAATTTTTTAAATACCCAGATAGGGCCTAAAAAAATATTTTTTAAAAAAATCAGAGCCAGCCAGGCCAATGGTACCTCTGCAGGTCTCTGATATATATAAAGATAATTTAAAAAAACATAATTTAAGAATTTTATTTTCTCGTTAGGGGACCCAGTGCACTGTTTAATAGAAAAATAAGAAATAACCAGGATACAATTAAATGAGAGTGGCCCAGTATGAAAATGTAATGCGAACTTACATTAATCACCAAAAGAGGAAATAATATAAGAATGATTTAAGTGCTGATAAAAATAAAAGGGACTAAGAATGATGTGTAAAAAAAGTTATAAATAAAATTATGTGATAGGGAATTGTAAAATCTGCATATTTTTTGCAACATTTGTATTTGTTTTCTTCGGTTCATGTCTCATCCCCAAAATGGACCCTTTAGATAGGCCACTGACGATCATACATATCACATGTGAACTAATTGTATAGGTAAAATAAAATACCGCCAAATACCGGAGTATGAATATCAATTATTTGATGATCTGCAGTTAGATAATCCCAAAAGCTATTTGGTTCTTTGCCCTCTTTAAATTGTATTGGGATGCAAGTTTTCTTTCTTTCAACATTATTTATTTTTTCCGCTAATAATCTAAAAATAATATTAATATCGATATGAGATATTATCATAAGCTTTGCTATATATTAGAACTTATTATGACCGTCCTGACAATAATTTTGAGATAAAAATATAGGGTTTAACCTAGCTTTGCTTGCATTCACAGATTTGCACTTATTTCCTTGCCATACAATAAGGGAGTTTGGAGTATCCAATAAATAAGTGTTTTCCGAGTTTAATGAGGAGGTCATCAATGGAACCTGAAATAATAACGATAAATTATTCACAAATTAATTGCGCCTTCTTTGTCTTAGGCCACATCCAAACAGAACGGGCATTTAATTGTTAATAAAAATCACTGTTTGGAAATGGTCTTATATAAAAAAGAGAGATGAATATACCTATTTTTAAAAATATTGTATTTGCCAATGAAATTAATAAAGCCATATAAATTCACTTTTTTCGTTACAAACCCAACCCATATTTTTATTTATATTTTTGAGCAACAAACTTTTAATAAAAAATTTATAACATATTCAATTAGTTTATTTTTTTACTTTTATAACTTTTCGTATTATATTTTTATCAAAATTTTAATCTTAATTTTATAAACATAAAATTAGTTATATAATTTTAATTTTGTTATATTAATATATAATTGTAATAAAATTTTGAGATTATATTAATATAATAAATAAGCGTCATGGAAGATAATTTCCTTGGGAAAACCCTCGTTTTTTCTAAGGAGGGGGGGGGGAGTATTTTTGATAATTATTTTTAAAAAAATTAGTTTTTTCGGGGAATTATCTCGTGATTCGGTAGGCCTACCCCCATTTTATTAGTAAAATATCTCACTCAAATATTTTATTAAGATTTGATATTTTCGACATTTATAAGCTTAAATAAATTATCAATAAGTTTTAATATTAATTAAAAATTTTACTGGAATTTTTGTAAATAGTATTAAAAATAAATCATAATATGACTATATTTAAGATTTTTATTATAAATCAATTTGAAACATTCAATAATCAAAATTTTCAAAAACCAGTTCTAAATATTAATGACTGGTATTTTTTGTAGTAACATCTCAAAAACTCTGAGTGTCATGTCTCAGTATACAGGAATCCGCGAAATTTTCAAAGTAGAAGGCCCAGCGTGCCCTTTCAAAAAATTAAAAAAAAAAATTTAATATGGTATTTTAGCATATAATTAATATTTTAACATGAAATAAACAAAATATTTTATAAACAAAATGGTAGTATATTAATATAATTGTACATTTTTAATTTAAAAACTATCCCTACCTATTATTTTAGCAGGTTCTTAAAAAATAATATTCAATAGAAATAGGAGAATGTCATTGTATCCGTTTTGACTAGCCGTCTATTAGCTGCATCCCTGCTTCTACACAAGGACTGCATATTAGAGGTCTACATTGGATGGGTTTTTAGCCCCGCCCATCTAAGTGGGCGGGCGGGTTAAATTTTTTTAAAGAACGGAAGTGGGCTAAAAAATTTACAACTTTTATTTGTTATTTGAAATCCTTTGAGTAAACATTAAAAAAATATGCTCTCAGATATTCAACATTTTTAATACCAAAGTATCGATAACTGAAGGAAGTTGTCTTTAGAAGAAATTAATTAGGCAAAAATAAATAGAAAACATGTTGGATTTGATTTGCATGGAAGAATTTAACATCAACGTGAATGAAAAACAGATTTTACCCATTTCCTTAAAAGCAAAGAGAATTCACTTAAGATTATAAATGCAATGTTTGAAATAGATATCATCAACGTTAAAATTAAACAACAGATGGGTAGATAAGGCTGTTACAGATGAGGAAATGACATAAAAAAATATTTAAATCTTAAGGTAACGAGTTTTTGTATAATTTAGCAAGATTTTAGGCTACTTAGTTTAGTTTAAGCAGGGTTTAGAACCGAACCGCCAAACCGGGATGAACCGTTGTAATTCTCTGAACCGTAACCGAATCGTTATCAAGAAAATATAAAGAGTGAAAATTAATTTTAAATTATTAACCTAAATTTTAGATTTTACCTTGGGGGCAATTTTTAAATTCGTGATTTATTTTCAAATTAAAATTTTTTATATTATCTACATATCAATCAATACCAAGTTTATTGCTTTTACTTTAAATACTCAATTAATAGAGATTTGGCAAATTACCAGTCAATTGGCTATTCCAAATTAAATTTGAAAAAAACCACTAATAAATTGTTGCGCAAGATGGAAGACTACTAGAGTTAAAAAATTTTTGTCTGCCAAGAAATATTGCTCCAAAGCAATGATCGCGAAAAATGTTCAGATAATGAATGGAAAATAATTAGCGATATAATAAAACCTTTATATCCAGCTTATATTTTGACAAAATATATACTTAACAATCGGCGATTTTTATGCTACGTGGATCAAATGTATCATGTAAACGAGCAAAGTAGACACTCCATTTGCCATACTTTTAGTTTCTACGATAAAAGCACGAGAAATAAATTTGAAAAATGACGTTTTTTGCTCAGCTATATATCTCGACCCAAGATATAATGTAATTTTAACATTTGAAGAAAAAGAGATGGCCAAAAAACATCTTTCTAAAACTTTGAACTTAATACAAAATTTAAATAATCCGAACATTGAAATTTTTGATAATATGCCTTCACATTCGAAAGATAATTTAATGATGATTTTGAAGATTTATTAAGCCTTAATAAGAATAATTATGAGGGCATAGAAAATTATAATAAATGTATAGAAATAGAATATATAATTCGGCCATTTGATAATATAGCGAGATTAAAAAAAGATACTAATCTTTTGAATTATTGGGAAAATGTAATGAATAGTATGCCAAAACATTATAAGTTAGCTAAAACCATGCTAGCAGTTCCAGCTAGGCAGGTATCCGTAGAAGGAGCATTTTCTAGACTTTAAATTTTACTCTATTCGCAGAGAACAAAATTAAATCCTGAAATATTAGAAAATATTTTAGTTATCTGTTCTAATTCTCTTTTTAAACATAAATAGTATAAATTTCATTATATTTATGCGTTATTTTATTCCTTTGTCAATTTGTCAAATTTATAATTACTAAGTTTAATAAAAATATGTATTAAATTATCGTGGTTAAATTAAATAAGAAATTATAAAAATATATATTAAAAAGATTTTCCTCAGATTTATATATATGGTTTATGATTAATTTTTTTTAAAATCAAATTTATAAAAACCGGAACAAACCGAAAAGAACCGTTATAAATTATAAACCGAACTCAACCCTAAGTTAAAATCATTTTTTACATCAGTCCAAGTCTAACCTTCCAAGTCAGGCCTGCCATTCAAATAAATTTTTTCAAAAAAAACAGAAATGGAACAAAACATTTATAAAATTTTATACTGAAACCCGAAACGAACCGACGGCTATACTTAACGGTTCGAAAACCTGAGTTTAAGTTTACAATTTATCAACAATTAATTTAAATTACTTTTTTTATTATTATTAATGGTTACACTTTTTATTTAAATATCTCTCTTAAGTAGAGGATATACTTCAAAGTGATATCCTAGTTTGATGGAAACTACATGAAAAAGATTTATCGAAGATAAAGATTAACTAGAAAAATATTGGCAATTCCAACAACCAGTGCTTTTTCTGAACGAGGAATTAGCATTGCTGGAAGGTTTTTAGTATCATTAAATATTAATTTCTATTATTTGTTAAATATATTATTAGATCAAATTAGTGTTGTTAAACGGCTCGATTTGAGCCGGCCTTTTTTGACGAACTGATTTTTAAATTTCTAGATCTGATTAAACTGGAATCATGCAGAGGGGATTGTTCATACCCTATGAATCTTCTTAATAAGTTTTCTTAAAAAATTTTGCAAAGAATTGGATTTCTTTTGTTAGCGATGTTGAACAGTGTCATGACTTGGGAGAAATCTAGTATAGCAACACCCCTTTGCACACTATATCCAACATACCCTGGCTTTGATTAAATCACCGTTTAGAATGCGCGGGATCCATTGCAAAAGTGCTGCAGTTATCACTTTAAAGCCTTTATTAATACATAATATATTGTATATATAGCCAGTCTAACAAAAATCAAAAGGCGTTGGATCAAATAGCATTTGAATTTGGCATTCAATTGCTGAAGATTGGAAGGGTACTTGATATACGGTGGATGACTAGCTGTCGTCGTAATGTTAGCAGTTTGGAATAACTACGAGAATCCAGCAAATTCTAGCAACAGTGGAAAATTTAAAGGGCTGTCCACCCGATTAGAAAGTGATAAATTCTATCAGATCTCGTGTTGAAGTATGATGTTCTACTTGAATTATCCAATCTGTATTTAAGGCTTCCGGCAAGAATAACCAGTTTATCTAAAACTGAAAAATTAATAAAGCGAACGATTCGTGTTCGAAATTGTTAAAAGATATGACTATTAGGTTCTAAATCTCCTTTATAATTTCTAAATGCATGTTTATTTATTTTAATTAGTGATATTAAAGGAAAACAGAAGACTATCAATGATCAATTCATTATTGCCCTAATAGGCAATAATTCTAATTATAATAATTAAAAGTATCTTTTTAGCTATCTTATCTGATATAGAATATTTATGAAAATATAACTAGCCAGCAGACCCTCACCTTCGTTATGGAAAAGAGCAAATTGACTTTGACTGAAGCTCGATGTGAATCTCGCAATAAATGGAATATGTTGATAATTAAAATGAAAGCAATAAATTCTTACGTTATCTGAAAGAGTTTAAAAATACGTGTAATATTGCTGAATGGGATCGCGTTCATGAATATCATTATGACGGATTTGCGTGAAAGTCTAATAATAAAACCTATTTCCAGTTAATGATGATGAACAAAATGAGTCACAGGTATACAAACGATAACCAATTCAAGTAAAAGTGGGGTTAGTATTATTAAAAATATTCGAAAACTGGCTATGGAGAATATTGATTTTTTCACCTTTTTTGATCTATTCAGATTTATGCATTATAATAATATAATTGTGGAAATCATTCTAAATAATTACCTCTTTTTTTATGTAATATATATTTTTTTCAATATATTTCAATTTTTATATAACTTTTTAAATAGCTATTTTATATAATATAGACGTTTTTTTTTGAAATGCTTCGATACAAAAAAAAATTCCCTCAAATTTTTGAGAATTTTGCCCATTTTAGCGTGCCCCCTATTATTTTTGTTAGAGTCCACGTCGTAAATTTACTACAACATTGCCAATGTATTACTTAAGAGGTAAATTAATAGAAAGAAGAATCAAGTAGCGTACAAAAACACAATATTGAATTATAAAGAATTCGTTTTTATAAGTCTTAAGAAAGATCTAACTCAAAGTTTATATGCAATTAGAAATAGAAGTAGATGATTATATTGAATAATAAATGATAAAATAGCGGCAGCGTCACCTTTATGTTTGTTTAAGATTGGATATATTTTATTTTGATATAGTTTAATGGTATCTTATTTTAATATATTGAAATCGTTTTAAATAAATTAAAAAATATTTTAAAAAAGTTTACAAATTGATAGCCTTTAAAATTATATGCAATATTAATAACTTTAAGTCCAAATAATATTATTAATGAAAATTTTTATAAATATATTTAATAGTTCAATAAAAAATGGAGTTTAATTTTATGTATGCATAATGCAACTTGTCTAGATTTCTATTTTGTAAAATATATTAAATATTGTTATTTTTATTCATAAAGTATTTTGTCTTATATTTGATATTTAATAGATTATAATATTCGATATTAATAAATTGTCAAGTACATGCTCAGGCTCTTATATGTTTAGCACTAAATGCTAACTTCCCTATTAAATAAAACACTACCTTTCCAGAAATGAAATAACATGATTTTTAATGACACCGATTTCAGAGTGTATTAATGAAAAAACAATTAATATATAAGAAAACAGCATAATTTAAAAAATGAAAAGTCAATTATTGGTAAAAGAAAAATAGGATATGTAATTTAGTCACAAATAAATAAATCATAACGTAACAAATATTTCAAGGTTTTTAAAGTAAAAATGCTTTGATATTTTTATGAAAGCATGATAATATATAAAATATTTTTACCGGTTCTGTGATTATGCTATTTGCATCGCATGAGCAACGATATAGTCGAGTAATATGTTCCTAATATTTTATAATTTAAAAAAATCATTATCCTGTAGAAGAGTTTAGTTTAGAGTAATAAGCTAATAGAATAAATCGAAACCATATTAGAAGAATCTCTCTATCAATAAAAAAACAAAATTTTATAAAGAAAATTATAATGTATGCTACATTTTTTTAAATTATATTTTTAATATAAGTAAAAGAATAGAGTTATTAAAGTAGGGCGCTACTTTATTTGAAAAATAGTGATTGGCTACTTTTTAATTAAAAGGAATAAATATTTTTTTTTGCCTATTTGTTTATTAAAAATTTCTATCTATAAAATTAAAAATACAATTTTATAATTGTGTTTCCAAAAAAGATCCATAATTATACCTAAAAATTTTTATTTGAATTTTTTGACATATATATAAAATTCTTTAACTTCGTTTGTAAAAAGGCGGATACGAAAATTAATTTCTTATTTCATAATTAAGTTTAAAATTTTATTATTTACTTTTGAAATTTAAGTGTATAATATCAAATATAAGTTTTAACAAAATATAACAATATTATTTAATACTACAGTGAAAAATATGTACAGGGTTGCAGGTGTTTAATTTGGTGATATATTAAAAACAAAGACTATTAAGTGGGATAATAAATAAGTTTGAAGTGTTTAAAAACAGAAATACCTCATTTATGTATTAGGTAAAATTTATTAAGTAAATAAAAATTTCTCATAAAACTTACAAAAAATAATTTTTTAAATTTTAAATGTTTAATATTAATAATATTTTATCCAATAATACTAGTGCTGTAAACGTTACTACAAAAAAGAAACCGTTACTCGTTACATCTGAAAAAAGAAACACGTTCCCGTTACTCGTTACCTTTTCAAAAAAAACGCGCGTTAGCGACTTTTCGTAACGGGCTACTTGTTACTTAAAAAAATAAAATATATACAAAAATATTTTTTCCGGACAATATATAATAAAATAAAACTATACAAAAAGAATATATAAGATCGTTATAAAAAAAATATTCATATATTTAATTATAATATAAATAAAATTATAAAAAATAATATATTATAAGATAACATCTTTATGTAACAATTTTTTATATATTTTTAGCAACAATTGATTTCAAAATTTTTCAGACAAACAAGAGCGCTTAGTGCTCAACACAGCTGGTTAAATAATGGGATGTGATATATAGTATTTTAATAATAAATAAAATATATAATGAAATTCTCTGTAAAATTTTATTATTGGATAATCCTGGCTACGCCACTCTTTCATATATATTTATTATTTAAAAAAAGTTTTTAAAATCACTATTTTTTATTCTTTAAATTTATTAACAATTATAGTCAAACCAATAGCAATACTAAAACAAGAAATAGAAGATATAACAGGGGCGTCGCTAGCCTTTACAATCTCAGGGGGCTCAACTAAAAAAATTTTTATAAGGGGCGAAGCCCCTCCATAACTTCTAATTGCGGGCCTTCGGCCTGCTTTTGCCCGGCCTTCGGCCGAGTTTTATATGAATATATTATACTTTTTAAAAATTTGCTAACTCTGAATAATTATTCTGAATTTCATATTTTGCCATTTATTATACTATGCATACAAAATAAACTAGCATATAAATAATTAAAACAATATAAGACATTTCTAAAAATATTATTTTTTAATATAAAATCGATTTATTACAGTATAAAATATTTTCGATTGCTAATATAAAAAAATTTTGCCTCTAAAGAATTACAAGTGATAAAAAAAGTTAATTAATTCATAAATATGCCTCAATTGATAATAATTTTTAAAAACTACATATTATTAAATTAGTAACTTACATTGACAAAAGGTCAAGAAACTAATATAACACACTGCTACCATTTTTAGACAATGTTTTATAGATTGACTAATAAGGAAAAATTTATAGGCCTAACCAAATCAACAATTCTAGGAGAAGAGAATATAAACGACCAATCCAAATCATAAAACTATATGGTGGTCAGAACTTCCTCTTAAATGACATGATAGAAGCTAGATAAGTAATTGAGAAAAAAATTGTGAGATATTAAATTTCTAAAAGATTATCTTCCATTTTTAATGATATATAAACGACTACACAGTTGACCATTATTGCTTATAAAATATGCAATCATATGATTTCAGTAGCTGTAATAATAATCTTAAATTACATAGCCACACAAATAATAGATGCTGGTTAATTTGCAGTCGTAGCCATGACACTCACTATATTAATTTATATCAGAATTTATTATGCTAGATAAATTGATAAAACAAAAACACTAAAAACCTTTAAAAGAAATTATGCAAATGTCTTGAAGCCTTAAGTTATTAACAAGGCAGGGATGCCATATTAGAAATGAAACATTTTGTAACTATAAAATAAGAACCAGAGTGATATGATATGATAAAAGAAATTAATTAAGATTTTATACACCTCTAGTTGGTATATTATATCTTAAAATAGTAGCAGTTTGTAATAATATCAAAAATATACTAGTATTAAAAATTTAACTCAAAACTGCTTTTCAAATAAGAAAAAAATAGTTTTCTATCTAATTTATTACATCCATTCTGGGATAAATAATAAGATGTTAAAATATTTGAAAACAATTTATTATTATATTTATTATCAAAAGCATTTATTAGTAAAATTTATTAAAATATTAACTGTAATATATTATATAACTGTCAAATACGTCTGTAAAAGTAATATTTAACCTAATATTTTATAACCAATTATATCTAATAGAGGATTATTAACTATATGTTTACTTACTTTTTATAAATAAATCTCTTATACTTATTAGGATTTGGACCTTGAAAATAATTTTAAGAGGCATAGTAACTAAATTTAAATATCAATAATATAGTTGATTAGTGATTTTGAACTCGGCTAATTACAATATTAAATTTTTTATTTTCAATTAATATTTATTTAATTAGGGTTATATAATAATTTAAATAATAAAAGTCAATAAAGCTTCAACTGTTAATGCTAAATTTATATTTAGTGAGTGATATTAATATTCTATTTTTAACACAGAATTTGATTGCAAGCTAACATAGTGAAAATATAATTTATAAGTATTAATCTAATCTAATAATTAAAATAGTATTCATTTAAGAATAATTTAGATAGACTTATTAATTTTTAAAAATTAAATCTATATATTACTCAATAGAATTATAAAAGAAATCATACAGTGGGCAATCAAAAAAATTTATTATTAGTTCAAGGGGATATTAAAGAGCCATTAAAAAAAATTGTTTTTCTTCAGGGGGCTATTCAAATTTTTCAGGGGGCTCGAGCCCCTGCGCGGCCCTTAGCGATGACACTGAGATAGAAAAAACTTAATATAATACTTTGAACCAACACCAATATTTTGTTAATTTTGGGTTTTTAATGTTGGTTTCCAGCCCAACATTGTAATATAATTTAATTGCTAATATTTAGGACTGTGCCGATCCACATATTTTCACCGATCCGATATTGCTCCAAAACTGATGCGATACTGATACAGATCCGATATTTATATTGTTTTTCACCCCCCCCCCCCTCCCCTTTTGAACCAAATGTAATCAAGAAATCAATATCTTTTAGGCAAAAAATCAAATTATGCATTTAATTTAATTTTTTTATTTCCACAATTAAGACTATATAAAAACATATATTTGATACTATATCCATTTTATGTTGGTATGAATAATAAAATTGCATTTAATATATAAAATTATAGTATATTAGATTTTTTTTTTAATAAATACGAGAGCCTCTAGATTTTCTGGCAATAAGCTTCTACGATATGGAGTATCTATATCCCCTACCGTTGAAAGTAAACTGAGATGCCTTTAGCATCATTATTTGTTTTGATAACGCATTTTGCAAAATTATCTTTGTCGTTTGTAAAATATTTCCATAATTCAGATACCATATTTAAAAATAATCTTTTATTTAAAGAATAATTAATAAAATTGGCGTTACTATTTAAAAAGATTTAAAATAATTAAAACTTTGGGTGTTCCTTTCTATTTTAATAAAAAAAAATTTAAAAATACTATAAATCTATTTTAAAAAAGAATAAAATTTAAAGGGTGTTGTGCATTTGCATTGTCTAAAAAAAAATTATTTAGAAAATATTATAATAATGTAAAATAAATATACATAACATAAAATAACAAAAAAAAAGTAAAAAAATCGGATCGGGTTTTTACAGGTGTCGGCCCGATCCGATATTGAAAAATTCTTAATATCGGTGCCGATCCGATCCGATATTTAATATCGACACAGCCCTACTTATATTTTAATTCCATGATTTAGCTTTTCAAAATATTATGAAAGAATATTATTCTATTATTGTAATATTTAAAATAATGATATATTAATTTATCTTTTTACCTTCAAATGCTTTTTTGAGTTTGAACTGCTGGACATTCAGGTTGAAATATTTGTGTTGGGATATAATTTACATTTCCAAAGTGTAGACTTGTTACCATTAATTTTCTTTATTGGTTTAAAATATATTTCAAATTGGGGCCAGGGAAAGATTAAATCATCTTTCATCTGAAGAAGTAAGTACTATGGACATAATATTCTTAAAATAAATTATAAGAATAATAATATCATTATTAACATTTACTTTGAATTTTGATTGAATATTAATTTCGATAGAAAATTTAACGAGAATTTAAAATAGGCAATGGTTGATATGAATTAAAACTCGGATTAAATTATTTATATTAATAATTAAAAAATAAATAAAATAATTTTATAATACAATAAAATATGTTTTTCTTTTTGTTGATATTTTTTAAGAAAAAATATAAAGTAACGAGTAACGTTTTGCGTTACCGTTATTCAAAAACAAGAAACGCGTTACCGTTACTCGTTACCCCTAGAAGAAGGTAACGAATGGCGTTTACAGCACTAAATAATACCAATAATAGTTTTACTCTTTATTTAATAATAATTCCTTTTTATCTAATTATTCTTTTTTC